CCCGGGGCTTCCTCAGGTGCCACCGTCCCTGGAACGACTGGAGGTGAGGATGGCAGGGGAGTTCGGGCAGCAGCTGGGGTCAAAGATGGCAGAGCAGCAGCTGGGGCCGAAGATGGCAGAGCAGCAGCTGGAGCCGAAGATGGCAGAGCAGCAGCTGGGGTCGAAGATGGCAGAGCAGCAGCTGTGGCCGATGTCGTTGGAACAGGATCGGGGACCGTCCTGACAGTGATGCAGTCTTTGACTATTTCGACTGGATAGTTCCAGAAGGGCTCTGGTGGATCACTCATGGTTCTTCTTGTAAAAAAGAAGACAAAGGAGTAGAAATGAATAACAACCCGGAAAGGGAAGGGCAAGGTAAACTCTGGAAAGTGGAATGGTGAAGCCAAGTATGAACAAGAGTTGAGTACAATAGTACTCGTGATAGTCAAGAAAGTAAGAGTGATGAAGAGGAGTGATAGCAATTTTTTGTTCTCAATGTTGGAGATGGCGAGTGGTTTATATACATACCAGTGGCCACATAAAGGACATAATAGTCAGAAACTCGAGACGTCATTCACTCCCAAAGTTGAGAGAGCAATCTGGCTATTCTCACGGTGGTACGCTCAGTGCCAGCTCAGTGGTGATGCTTGACTTGCACATCATCATTCCACTTCGGCTCGCGATATATCATATACGCGACGCACCTCTGGGAGATCACAACCCATAATTCAGCCGTGGCGCGTAAATCAACCCTCGGACCTCCATTATGGCATGTTTCTGGCCCAATCTACCACATGGACGGCGGATCATGCACGCCTCACGTATGTCCATCATATTCGTCTCATAGAGTCCGACCAAGAGCAAGCCTCAAAGTCCAGCGAATCAACTGCTTCAACTCAGTCGAGACAGTCCTGCTCTTGCTTTGTGATCGCCCTCGTGCCTTATCCATTGGCTATTAGGCACGAACGAAAGAGAAGTGTGTATAAGTCGTGACCCGGAATGAGAGCTTGCTGTACGCCGCATAAAGTAGACACAAGGGCGGATATGATTCTCGCGCGCAAATGCAAGCTATCGGAAACACGGGAATGGCCCCGAGAAAAAATGACGAAGCAAAAAAGAGAGCAAACGCGGAAAAAATAAGGCAGCACTGATGTTGACCGACGCACCCTCACGGCCTCATGCTTCCAGTGAACATGATGCCAACGCGAGGAGAGGAATCCCCCAAGTCGCTTCTTGATATTCTATCACCTACCACAATGTAACGCTTGGATGCAACGCGATCTGTATGCGGCTGATATGTCAGTCCTAAGAGTGAGATTTGGATTGTGACTGGGAAAGAATGACGCAGCACTGAGAAATAGAGGACAGACTGGGACATTGCCTCGATGTGACATTGCAATACTGATTGATAACTTATTGCATGAAAGCAAAAAAATGCACGACGGGATCTGAGCCTCTGAGGTGAGTAACTTGTTACTTTACCCAAAACCCTCCCACGTATGCCTCTTTTCACTGGACAGGTTCACGAGTCGTAGTGTTATTGCGCAACACATACTCGGGCGAAACCTTGTTGAAGTTGGCGCCGGTTGACAAGAGTGCTGTTCTTGTCGCTTTGGTCGCTTCGGTCTACACGTGTGCGACGTGTGACCGTGATGGTTCTCATTGGCCTGTCCTGCCTCTCTGCTTTCTTAACGGAATTGCGACATGGCTAGGATAACCCGTTTGCATTCAGCTCGGCTTTGTGCTGTGTTTCGTGCAATGTTGTGAGACGTGAGTCTGTATTAACATGGTCGTTAACGGAAGTACCGCGAAGCCGGCACAAAGTCGCGGATATGTACAACGGTTCCCTGATTGGATTCGGAAACCCGAGTTTTGTCCTTACTCCGGTTCATTTGATCGCCCATCCTCTGCCGGCTATTTGATCTGTCTCTCGGCTTCCTGCATGTCAGCTCATTATCAGGGAAACCTCGTGATTAGAACTCGCAAGACGCGAAAGACGCACAGCATTCAAGCACGACCTCTCCGCCAGTCGATTGGTCAAGTGGCCGGCCATCAGCCACCGCCTCCATGCATAGCCGAGTCAACCGAACGTGAAGGGACCAGCTTGGCGGTGCTACACCGTTGATGTTGTTCCTGGTCCAGGTAACCACAAAATCCGCTTTGTTCTCCTGGTTGTCGTAAAGGCACGGGATGGAGTATACTAACTGAGGACGTCAACTGTGACTCACGCATCCCTCGTGGCATCAATTCGGTGTGATTCGTGGCTAAAAACTCCTCCGTCGTCAGACCGAGGACCTTTATTTCATCACTCACCCATGCACTATTGTGCATGCATAGTCTCGGCTAGACAGCTTTTCTGCGATCGGCCATTGCGAGTGTATAGCGCATATGTCCAAAACCCCACACTGTCTTCCAATAACACTGTACAATTTTGCTGGCCCGCCATCCATGTGATTCTCCCAATATGCTTGCGATATTATCGAGAGCAACCCAGAGGCACGCTTTTTGATTCAGGAACTAAGTCGTGGGGCCCTTGCCATGCCGTCCGGTCTCTTGTTCTGGGTCGCTCGGATAGCCAATAGTCCAGTCGCCCTCTTGATCTCCGATGATCAAAAGCAGCGAGGCAAAGCTTGCTATCGAGAACAATGGGACAGCCCTTATCACGGCCTCAGCTTTGACCCTCGGAGGATGGTACATGGTGTGGCATGCTGTGCAAGGAGGATAATGCAGGTGAAAAGAAAGATGACGAAGCCAGGGAAGTTCGAGTCGTATTGTAGTAAGGCATCCGTATCAGCATTGTTTTGATGAAGTAAATGATATATCATAAGCTGGCAGCCGAAAAGTCGTCTTTCTGCGTCACCTCCCTGAGCCCTCCAGCATACAAATCACGACCCCTACCGTGGCCTGGCTCGCTCTTATCACAGAAGCGGAGAAGAGAGTCTCTGACCGAGGGAGATGTAGTGTTCAACTTGGCGGGAGGCTGCAGGAAGCTGTCATATAAAAGCATCCGTGTCATTATTGATCTGTGGTGGCCTGCGACGGTGAAGTTGTACTCCTGCTTGCGCTGCCGCATTGCCGTGCGGCGTGAACGAGTCCTCATGCCTCAGTCTGTTGGCGGGCCCAGAATCAGGTATCCTTGGACCTCCCACATCCTTTGCGGTTGGAGAGTCGTGCCATTACTTTTCTGTCGACGCTTATCTGAAGAGCCAACGTCTATGTTGTCGATCAGCCGCCAATACCCCCCAAAAAATTGTCCTGCGATTGCCAACGTCAGTATGCAAGTACGTCAAGAAAAGATGACCTTTCGGTATACTCAGATGCCAGTCTACTGTCTATACTGGCGGAGTTCTTCTGGTAGCTCTGACTGTATCTGATCAACCCCCCAGTCACTATCTCATGACAGCTTAGCCTCAACCTCAGACCTGTAGTGATAATGGTCGACCACATCATCGATTTCAGAAGACTCCATCGGATTCGCCTGTAGAGCTGCTCGGTCTACGGCAACTGTCTGACGAGATTCAATTGCCACTTGTTTTCATCGGGAAGGCAGTCCACCAAACACCTGCATGACTTCGTCTCAGTTGCTTTCAAGATGCTTGCTATGGAACAGGACCGTTGCTACCGTAGCTTTCTCATCAGCCCCCATCTGACGCTTGAGAGATGAAAGTATTCAACTCCCGTTTGCAAGCTATGTGGCGACGAAGACCTGGAAGTCTGTGCGCTAGTAGCTCACGAGTCCAACATGCATCGATTTCGTACCGGAGTGTCGTTCGAGATTCGAGAACACCTGACCAGTCAAAGAATCTCGACCTTGCGTTGCGCGGCAGGCATACAATGACAAGACGAACGCAAGAGCGTCCATCTGCGGCCGCTCAGTCAAGTCAGGCCAGCAAGCCATTCCCATAATCCTTTTTCGGCGTCGTTTCACCCTCTTAGGTTCTCGACTTGCCTGGCCTCTTCATTCAAGATGATTATAGTACTGGCACGACGGCATCGCGTTCAAATGATCGTCACAGACCATACTTTTTGGTGCTTCTGTACTGGCCTGCTGACCCTGCGCAAGAAAACTTACGATGTCTTTCAATGTCTGATTGTAGCTTTCATTAGATTCTGTCCAACAAACACGTACCTAATGTGTTGAAGTACAAATCGGATCACACGCAAGCATACGCGAGAACTCTGGAGTAAACCGCTCATCCCTCGAGATACACGAACAAAATGGACCGCATGCAAACCGCAACCGGACAATGGAACTTCGGGGGTGCAGCGGCGACAACGAACGGCTGATAGAAGACGACGATTGACTTTTCGTACGCGCGGCCGAACCGTGAACGTTGAGGCTCTCAAACAGTAAAAAGGTACACAAAAGAGTCGAGTACCTAGGTACGAAGGGTAGGTCGTCAACCACTTGTTTTGCAGCTCTTTCCTCTTCATGGTCGACGCCCACTGGCCATCCGCACTATATAGGATGCGTCGAAAGACCTGCCTTTCAAGAGGATTATTCAGCCTCCCTATGATGGCCTAGCTCCAAGAGCTATTCGCGAGTGTCTGCGCCGCCGTCTGGGTGACATGCCCAATTACGTTGCGCCATGGAAGACAACGAAAGAATGCGCATTGTGCAAGTTTCTGAACCCTGTACAATTGACGCCTGTGTTGCTGAGGACTGAGCAAAGCCAGACCATCACACTCCCTCCCTCCCACAATGTCCATTTCCATATGGACGATGTAGGGGCAATTGAAACGCCGGGGAACATTGATGGGACTTGTACGGAGTAAGTCAAACCTCGCGTGTTTGGAGAGTGCTGGACGGTTGTTATGCGAGGCCCTCCCTTGGATTGAGTTCGGGCGTTACTTGTGGAGTTGGTGAGTCACCCGACGTTGATATGTTTTACAAGTTCAAGCCAGTGACAAAAATTCACGTGACGACAGAAACCTTGAACGCATTTCCTCAGGTCAAACTTTTTGATTAACGATGCCTGAGTCGGATGCAAAAAGACAAGCCGACATATTAATAGCTTACGTGGACAAACGGGGAATCGAACCCCGGACCACTCCCAGGCGTCATGTCAGTAGACCAACACATGCTAAGGGAGTATTATACCACTAAACCATTCGCCCATTGGTGTCAGAGTTGCGGAATATTACTATGTATATTTTCTTTCTCATGACTGAATGGAGGATTCGATCTGGCAAAGAAAGCTTGTTTCCTTACTCCGTAGGTACTGTAGGTAATAGGTACTCCGTAGATATGTACGATAGAGGTAATCTGCGTCGTCATAGCCGCTCCCCCGCACCTGCAGCCACTTTATTTAGTAGGAGGTATGTCGTAGGTTACGGTAGGTATGTTACAGGTACCTAAGCTTGGCTGGCGCAACAACACAACAGAAAGACATCCAGATCTGCCCCGACTGCATCACAATTCCTCTTGTGCTCGTCGTGTAGCTCGCAAGCACGTCTTCTTGACTCTCCACTCTCTTCACTATGGCTTTAGAAAGCAATGTAGGCGATATCCCAGCCCTTGCAATAGCTTCCCTCCGCCAATCTTCCAATGCTGAACCGAATCTTCTCTGCAGGATCCGAAGCTCCTCTACGCTGTCGAGGGGATCAAGGCCTATCACATTGCCCAAGGCAATGAACAACCACTCAACCCACTCGGGCCCGAGACCTTATCGTTGCTAATGGTATCAACATCGTCTGGCTTTTCCGACCCCTCTGGCCCTGCATCGGGTCCGCAAGACTTCTATCTGCATCTACATTTGCCACCCGAGCTTGATCTGCCTCTCCCCGCCACGACACAGATCTACCATCAACCCCCAACGAGCTACCTGATTCCTCGCTGGGATCTCGGGCCCGACAGCGGCGCATTCACACGAATAGAATTCCCAGCCATTGGCTCTCGCGCTGGTATCCAAGAAGACGTCGATACTTTCGAGACCATTCTGGCGCAATGCACTGCTTTTCTGGAACGCGCCACGGCCCCGGGGTCCTCCGGGAGCAAGACATCATCCGTTCCGGCGTCTTCTGCCAAGGCAAAAGAATCTGTTGGTGATGAGCCGCCGGCGTATGACCCTGCCAGCTTCGCGACAGGCGAGGGTTATGCTCATGGCAGCGTGAGCTCAGCTTCTAAAGGAGGCCGTATTGTTCTGGTGGACGAGGAAGATGGCAGTGTCGTTGGGGAGCTAGGCGACGGGTTTCAGGTGGTGGAGGACACGGCCATAAAGCCCGGATCCAAAGGTTTGTGTCATTCACTCAACGTCCTTGACTAGCGTGTTCCTCTACGTCTTGCTAATCCAGTCGCGGACTCGCGGGACAGATCCTGTCGAAATTGCCCTGCCCACCGATGCGTCACAGGCCATTACGGTTCAGCCCGTATCGGGATACGGTGATGACGACGAGGACGACAGGGTGCATCCAGCCTACAAGAAGTCCACGATCGTCAATATGGGAATGCGAGCGTCTCGTCTTCTCATAACGACGTCGGATTATGTCGCGCATACACTCAGCAGCCAGGCTGAAAACTACGCCAAGAATACCCAGCCCAACACAAAGCCTGTCACATTCACGCCTACGACTCACGCGCACATCCGCCGGATCAACCACTTTTCCACCAAGGCTGCAGGTTTGTCCGCATCCACTGTCGGGTCCATCTCCAAGGTTGCGCAAAACTTCGGCGCCAACCTATCCAAGCGAAAAGATGGTCGTGCGCGTGGCTTCGATAAGGACGGAAAGCCCATCGACACATATAAGCCAGGAATGCTCAACAAGAGCCTCATGGCGTTTAACATCGTCGTGGATGGTATGGAACAAGCCGGACGCAGCTTGCTCACCAGCACTTCATCTAGCGTCAGCCATGTCGTTGAACACAAATGGGGCCCTGAAGCCGGTGAGGTGTCTCGCAATCTCGGCGGTGGCGTCAAGAATGTTGGCCTCGTCTACATTGATGTGACGGGCGTTTCTCGACGCGCAGTCTTGAAGAGCGTGGCCAAGGGAATGGTGGTGGGAAATGTCAAGGGTGGCGGCAAGGTCATTGTCGGTGGCGGAGAAAAAACGGACAAAGCGGGATCCGGGGTGGCAGAAGGTAGTGGCAAAGGCAAAGCCTAGGAAGACGACTTATGGTCATAATGGGGTGAGGATATGCGAACTGCCTGCAGGCACGAAGGGGCGTCCGCTGGAGATGGTGCATGTGGAATGAAGTACTCATAAACGAGTCGATGGCCAAGACTCAAGAGCCGTGTAATGCTGCGGGGGCAGTGCATTGCAGGAGATACCTAATGTACTGTATATAAGAGAAAATATTGTAAATACTTATCAGATTGCCGGAGTATGGAGTTTCATGCAGATCACGTGTCTGCGCGTTCGCCTTCGCGTCGGCGGACCTCCTCAACTCCACACGCGTCTCCTCACGACTTCTCGACGTCACCTCACGACGTCATCTCCAATTCCCGCTGCTGGCCATCACGGCGGCTCCACCTCTCCTATCTCAAGCTTGCCGTTGCAGATTACGAAGCATTCTGACTTCCAATTAACTCGTCACTCAAAATTCGTGCCCTGGGGCGCCACCAGTCTCCCACAAAAATCGCAGCTGCGCGTCCCATGTGTCGATTCGAGCTGCTCGGGGCCATCATTCTTATTTCCCACGACATACAAGACGCAATCAAGCGCCGGAAGGCGGCACGAAGCAATACGCGATGCTCCACGAAATCCTCCTGTCCCTCTCCGGTCATCCGTCGCCTCTCCTACGCCCGCCAAGCTCGCCCGAGGCAGACGCCCTCGCAGGAATCAGCCCGCCCGAACGGCAACTGCTCTCTTCCGCCGGCCACATAAGTCATCTACACACAAAGCTCATCGCCTACTCTTCCGAGACGGCCACCTCTCATCCCAGTACAATCTGCAGAGCTGTCTGTACGGCCATCAGCTCCGTTCACCTAGCTGCCTTTCAGCGCAAGGTGCTAGACGTGGAGGCGAGCGTGTTGAGGAACGATGCGGGCTTGGTGGGCGCCTACAACATTGTGCCCCTGACGGCCGTCATGAGCGAGTTCCAACAATGGACTAGACGGTTGGAGTGGCTATGGGATACGGTGCGGTTCATCATGGCGAGGGACGGAGAGGGGCGGGCTTGCCGCGGCGCTGCACTGATTGATCGCTTGCGGGACGAGCTGCAGAGTGGATATCAGGACGTGGCGGCTACGGCGGAGAGTCTGGTCAAGGCAGCCGAAACGGCGTGGCTGAAGCAGGTTTCGGCATGGGTGCTGTATGGGAGACTTCCGAGCTTCGGAGCCGACGACTTCTTCGTACAGACGACGACGATACAGGGTGCCCCGAACGACCATGACTATGCCTGCGTGGCAGAATGTCTACCTTCTTTTGTTACGGGCGCGACGGCATCATCTATGCTCTTTATTGGAAAATCCCTTCACCACATTCGATCCATCAACACGAGCTCCACGTCGACGGGGTTTGCTCATGTTGCCGCCAAACTGTCTGAGCTGTCCACGCTGTCCCTACCGCTTGAAAGCACTGACTTTTCCAAAGCAATCAAGGCTATCCGCACGTCATTATCTGAAACCACTCTGCAGCAGATGCTGCCACTGGCCAAGGTATCGGAAATGATGCACCTGCTCCGAGAATTCTTCCTCCTCGGACGGGGCGAGTTCGCCATGGCGCTGACACACGAGGCGGATGAGAAGATTCGCAACCGGTGGCGAAGGGCGGTGACCGGGACAGGGCATCATCCTTCTCATCTGGCGCACGACAGCGGTGATCAAAGTGTCAAGAACGTGACGGTCAAGGATGGGGAAGTGGCTGCCGTGCTGAACCGGACGTGGGCGGTTCTCGTGTCCATGCAAGGCCAGCACGCGGAAGAAGACGACCAGCTAGACCTGGCCAGGAGCTTGATACAGCTCCACCTGACCAAGGCCAGGCCGCCGGCTGCTCTGGCCACGGGCAGAGGGCTCGATATGGAAGCGGCAAGCCATGTGGCCGCGTCTCCGTTTCGCAACATGCTGTTTGGCGTGCCGGCCATGCTGAGCATCGACCTCCCCTCGCCGCTCGACATGGTTATCTCGGCGTCGGACCTGCAGCTCTACTCGTCCATTAACTCTTATCTTCTGTCAATCCGCCGAGCACACATCCGCCTTACGGACCTATGGAAGATCACATCACTCCGCCGCCACTATCCTTCTCCACGCGGTACCTCGGATTACGCCGTCACGCTTCGCGAGCGCTGGTCCGACCGTGCCTGGCTCCTCCGCAGCTCATGGACCACGGCCAGCGCGGCCATCTTCTTCCTCGGCGAGACAGAAGCCTACTTTCAGACGGAAATCGTGGCCGGTCTCTGGGATCACTTCCACACGTGGCTCCTCCCACCATCCAAGGAATCTCAACACTCTGTCTCCGCTTCCCGCTCGCACTCTCAATCCCGCTCCCGCTCTCGCTCCCGATTTGCGCCCTCTTCTGATCCCATCACCTCGACCTATAACAAAACAACATCACTGGCGCCCTCCGCCTCATCATCACACGACCCCGAAACGCTCTCCACAGCCCACACTCTCTACCTCCGCACCCTCACCCACCGCCTCCTCCTCACCCAACCCTCTTTCACGCAACCCCTCTACGCCCTCCTCACCCACATCGACCACCTAGCAACCCACCTTCACCGTCTGCACTCCCTCTTCACGTCCTCGGACCTCCACCACGACGCCGGCGTCCTAGACACGACCAGCTCCTCTGACCGAGACCGCGAGCAAGGCCAGCTCTTTGAGTCGCTCCACACACTGCACCACAAAGTCAAGAACGGGATTCAGGATGCCGTTCACGCACTCCGGGCGCTGGAATCAGATCCTTCTTTTTTGGCAGAATGGGATGGACAGGCGCTTGCGGAGCCGGAGGAGGGGGAGGGGGAGGAGCATATGGGGTATGTTCCTGCGAGGGTAGGGGGTGTGGATCGATTGTTGATGAAGTTGGATTTTGGGAGTTGGATTCCTGGGTAGCAGGAGGTGTGACGATATCAGGTCTTTTCTCTTTCTGATTCTTTCCTCTGTTTTCTTTGTCCTAGGTCCAAGGCGCTGTTTTGTTGTGCTGTGATGGAATCTTATGCACAAAACAAATGGGGTATTGGT